CTCCTCGACCTGATCGTCCACAAATCCGAACTCATCTCCCACCTGAGGTACCGCACCCACCCACACCCCCGTATGCAAGCTTTTATGCTGTGCCGGTACTAACTGTTGTTCTTGTCTGTTGCAGATCTCTCAAACAGTACTTCCTTCTGGAGCAAGGCAACTGGGTTGAAAACTTCATGGAGCTGGCGCAGGACGAACTGAACAAGAAGTTCAATGATATCCTCTTCCAACCCCCCTCCCTCTTCGCTCTCTTTTCTTTTTCTCTCTTCTCTGTTCTTCTTTCCCTTCACATCGGTTTGGTTGGGTTCAAGCCTTGACTCCAGCGCAAAGATCGCCGAGTGGAAGCTCAAGTCGAAGCTCGACATCGCGCTGGACGGGGTGGAAGACGTCAATAAGGACAACCTCAAGCTCGCCCTGCTGTCGCACTCGCTCTCCACCCAGCTGTCGCTCATCCACGCCCCTCCGCCCGAGGACAATAAGACCATGCTCAACTCGACCGTGTTCGCCAAAGAGAAGGACTCCAAGCTCACCGGTACCACAGCCTTCGTTGTGTGTGTGTGTGTGTGTGTGTGTGTGTGTGTGTGTGTGTGTGTGTGTGTGTGTGTGTGTGTGTGTGTGTGTGTGTGTGTGTGTGTGTGTGTGTGTGTGTGTGTGTGTGGTGTCCTGATCAGTTTACTTTCTCCTCGCGCACAGGCTTCGGATGCTTCACTCTCGACTACAAGGCGCAGTGGCCCGTCTCGCTCGTGCTGAGCAGGAAAGCGTTGACGCAGTACCAGCTGCTCTTCCGTCTGCTGTTCTACTGCAAGCGCGTGCGGAACGGCCTCGACAACGCCTGGCTCTGGCACCAGTCCATGAAGGAGCTGCCCCACGTGCGAGCCCTCCTCGCCCACACCTTCCTCCTGCGCCAGCGGTACATCTCCACCATTCAGCAGCCAGTTGCCTTGGGGCGTGGACTCACGCAGGGGCCTAGGATGCTGCACGTGGTGACGACCCTGGAGCGGTATTTCCTGCTGGACGTGGTGGAGCCCAACTGGCGGCTGCTGGAGAAGCGCGTGCGGGAGGCGGCCACGGTGGAGCAGATTCTGAGCTTTCACAATGACTGCATCAACTCGAGCTTGCGCCAGTGCCTGCTGACCGACATCAAGCTCTTCAAGGTCGCCCTTCGTCACCATTCACAGTCTTC